AGCAGCTGTGACAGCTGCCAAAGCTGAGTTAGCTTCTTTGAAGCAAGAGCAGCTCCAACAGCAGCAGTGGCAGCAGCGGCAGCAGGCTTGGTCAGCTCCAGCGGCCAACACCGGCTCGGCTGGAAGTGCTGCTGCAGCGGCTGGTGTGCCTCAGCCTCCGGCACCTGTCACCTGGCATCGGCATGACGACTGGTTGAAGAGTGGCTGGATGAACAAGGCTGTGGCTTTGTGTGGTGCTATCCGCACGAAGAATGTGGATCGCCTGGAAGAGCTCGCGCAGAAGCTTCCGGGATGCATGCCAGAAGGTAACCATATGAAGACCAACCCTTCAACCCACAACACTAATTAAAAGCAATGGGTTTATCCTAATTGCGGTTTCAGCTAGAAGCCGCAACAGAAAACCCTAACCCGAAACCCCACACCACCAAGCCCAAAACCCAAACCCCAAACCTTAAACACCCCCAACCTTAAACACCTGCAGAAACATCGACTGGAAAAGCTTGAAGCCTATATCCACTGCGGTTTAAGGTTTAGGGTTGAAGGTTTAAGTATGAAAATAGAACCACCTAGTCACTCAACCCAGAAAATGACCGAAATCCTCAAGCCCTTAAATTCAAGCCTCCCAAAACGCTGCAAAAAATGGAATAAGCTCAGGTTCGAGACGTCCAACGACAGCTTCCGGAGAGCCTTAGAGCAACACGTCCACAACCTGAGGACACACGGTTGGGATTGGCATTATAATTATTAGAAAAAACTCGGAGCTGTTACCACTGTACAATGTTGAGAAGCAATGCCTTCAGTCAGCGTAAAACCCTTAAGCTCACAAGCTTAATCACCAACAGCAACAACCCTAAACCCTGAAACATTAATTGTAAGCCTTAAATGTCAAGCCCTAAACCCCTAATCCCAGCATTCAGAAAATCATATATAAAGTTATTCGGACAGTATGTGATAGTAGGGTCGGGGGAATAAGATTAAGTACAATGTGACACTCAATTGGCCTAGTCAATTGAGGCGACAGGCATATACACATATATGTATAAACATGTGTTTGTGTGGTTCTCTTGAAAATATATTTATGCATCAAGTGAAAGACATGGGAAAAATCCGCGCTTTCACTGCGGCACTGCAATTTTGACAGAGTCTGTATATGAGCAGGCTTCTGCACCAAAATTTTCTGAGAAAATTTTGGTTCCCAGTTTCCGGCCCCAAAATTGTCCAGGAAAATTTTGGGGCCCATTTTCGTGCGCCGAAATTTTCCTAGAAAATTTGTGGCCAAGGTTTGGGAACCCAAATTTTCTAGGAAAATTTGGGTTCACATTTTGCTATATCCAATTTTTTTGAGAAAATTTTAGTGCTGCAGCTGGATGACCCAAAATTTTAGAAATAAATTTGATGCAACTACTTTGGTATAATGTTTTCCATTGGAATTCTTTCTGGTAGCCAGCCTTGGGGCTGGAGGCTGGGTGTTGGGTGCTGGTGCCAGGGTGTACACATTTCATGACAATGGCTGCATTGTTTTGTTCGGCATAGTCTCCATTGAAGATTTAGTTTAGTGTTGTACTTCCGTTGCTGTTTCTGCCACAAATGTGGATACCGTTTGTTTGCAGTTATTGTTTTGCAAATTCTTTGTGTGTGTGCCCCTTTTGCAATGTTGTTTATCTCTGGTGAATACAAAGCTTATGGAGTGATGAGGTGCGTGGTCAGGTGGCAGGGGATTTGGGGGTGGTCAATGGGAGACGGACTGGGTGGTGGGCTGCCAAAGTGGGCTTAAGGGTCTTAGGTATGGAGGACGAGGGAGTGGTTTTCTAGTTAATTACAATTTTTAATTGATGGTGTTGTTTTTATGCCCCGTGGATTGGGTTCCAGTGATGCATTCTTTCCGATTTAGGGTGGTGCCATGAGGTGAAGTGGGACGGAGTGGGTGAAGTACGACGTAGTGAGTTGCTAAAGTGGGCCAGGGATGTGGGGTTTTGCAAGTCGAGCTTCATACAAACATTTTTTACAATTATGCAATGTTTTGTGTATTTAATCTAGCCATGTATCTTTCTATTTGCTTGTCTAGTTGTTTACTTGTCTATGTGTATGTACACATTCATACAAACACAAACAATGTCTATATCTATATGCATAGGTGTGTGTGTATATATATATATATATGTATGTGTGTATATACATATATACCCATGTTGGTAAGTGATAGGTAGGTATGTAGGCAGGCAGGTGGGTAGGTGGGTATGTAACTAAAAAGGTAGGTAGGTAGTTAGGTACAAGTAGGTAGGTAGGTCGGTAGGTAGGTAGAGGTAGAGGTGGAGGTAGCTTTGATGGAACGTTGGTAGATATATAGGTAGGTAGAAAGGAAGGAAAGTGGGTAGGTAGGTAGGCAGATATGAAGTTTTCTGTGCTCGGGCTAGGTAATGTAATCATGACATAGTGTACGTAGCTAGGCACAACCGCCCGGGTCACTTATAATGCCAATGCTGCCATGTAGATCAAAAGCCTTCGGGCTGCAACTGTTTTCAATGCCGGCAAGGCTGCCCAAGGGCTCGGTTTGCAGTGTTGCATGTTATTTCAAAGGACGTACTTTTGGCACAAGTTCCCAGCAAGTGTTTTCTAGAAAACAAAAGAGCTTGGGCCAGGCCTGTGCCCCTGCCTTGCTGAAAAGCCCACGGGCTGTGTCACCGGACAGACTACAGAGCTTTCGTGCGAAATAGACGGAGATGAATCAGAAGCCCGGTGGGCTGCATGTTAGGAGAAGCCCGGTGGGCTGCATGTTAGGAGAAGCCCGGTGGGCTGCATGTTAGGAGAAGCCGGGTGGCTGCATGATAGGAGAAGCCCGGTGGGCTGCATGTTAGGAGAAGCCCGGTGGGCTGCATGATAGGAGAAGCCCGGTTGGCTGCATGATAGGAGAAGCCTGGTGGGCTGCATGTTAGGACAGTCACAAGCCTTTTTTACAGAAGCCTTTTGGGCTGCGTGTTAAGGCACATTCTTGTTTCGTTGTTGTTTTGCATGCTGCGAATCAACAAAAGCCCTGTGGGCTGCATGATGCTGTATCTGACACCACACATACTTTTTGGTTCTTCGAATGCCAACCATGCTCAGAAGCAGTTTGCTTTTTGTTAGCTAGTTGGTTTCAACGGAGACCAAGCAAATCCAAAGGATTTGCGGACAGCCATGGCACAGTCGCAGTGGAGCGTGAAGGATGTCTGCTGTGAGATGCGGGATTGCAAAGCCTTGCTTGAAGCACGGCAGGGAACATCCCCGAGCTCAGAGTTCTTGGCAAGGATCAAAGACACAATCGGCTTCAAGCTTCGCTCCCTGCCGCAGCTCTCAGCTGCTGAAGCTTTGGAGCTGCACAAGGTCTTGCGAGAAGTGGACTTCGGAGAGCCGGTGGCTGCTGCTCTCAGCCAGCAAATCGACGAGAAGCTGCTTCAAACGACGGAGCAGACAACGGTTGTTTCCTTGAAGCAGCAGTCTCTCCCGAACATGCATCTGTTCTTGACTGCCCAAGACTGGGCACTTCTTGAAGGAGATGGTGCAGATTGGTGGGCCAAGCAAAGGTGCATCGTCCAGCGATTGAAGAAGCTTGGTGTAAAGTCTTTGGCTGAGAGCACAGTGCGAAGCTGTGTTTCCATTCTGCTTTCGACTGTGACTGTGCTGCCGCACCCAGACGACCAGCATGCAGCCGTGCTGGAGTTCAAAGGCTGCTTTCACAGTATGGAGAATGTGGATGGCCTGCCGTACCTCGTGCGATCTCGTGCGGTTCCCCGAGCAGCCGAGTGGCTTGCCTCCTGCTTTGCTGCAAAGCGCCTACACGGAGGCAGAACCTCCAGTGGCAAAAAGCATTGCAAGGCTGGCTTACATTGCCAAGGCCCTTCCTGTCAGGGATACCCACAGCTCCCTGTCAGCGAATGCGGGCAAGAGCAAGAAGAGGCCGCCAGCTACTCCGCAGCAAAGCCCAGCAGCTTCAACAGCCTTGCCTGTTTCGCCTTCGTGGCAACGGGGCGCCGGTGGCAGCAACTGGACGGCTTCAGAAGCTTCCAACCCCATGCAAGGCTTCATGGGCATGTGCAATGAAATGGTCAAGTGCATGCAGAGCTTCCAAGCTGTCCAACTGCAGATGAATAGTCGGCAGAATCCTTCTCAGTGCTTCCAGCAGCAGGCCGAGCACTTCCAACCGAAGCCAAAAGAGCTCAAGGCTGGAGTGGCAGCCCCTTCGCAGCTTTCCACCTGCAACGAGTCCGGACAAGGCACTACAGAGAAGCTTCTTGCTTTGCCAGCCCCAGCACCCAGCCCTGCAGAGCCAACAACTGCAGAAGAGGAGGCTCGCGACCCCGAGCCACAAGGAGTTCCTGGCTGGGCTGTCGCCAGAAGAACAACTCTTCGAGTCTCTGAAGGCAAAGCAAGCCAAGGCCAAGGCCAAAAGCAAGTGCAGCGCCAAGCCCAAGGCGAAAGGCAAAGTCTTCAAGAGACCACAAGCAGCTCCAAGTGCTTTGGCTGGCGGCTCCAAACTGCCGAAGTACGTCCCAGAAGCTCCTAGCGCTGTGCAGTCAGTTCTCGAAGAGAGTGCTTTGTGGACAAGCACTACCACAAGGCAAAGAACATCGCCTTGAAGGCTGGCGTTGGCAATGACAGAGCATATGAGTATGCAAGGACTGCAAGAGCAAAGGCTGCTGAGCTGTGGGACTCTAGCAAGTGTTAGGTTGTGGTACCAAGCAGCATTGAAAACAAATGCAGCTTGCATCGGGTCCAGCAACACATGATCCTCATGTGTTGCTTCAACCAGTGGCTCATCGCCGGGGAAAGTGGGAAAAGCTGGAAAACTGTAGCAGTTCCTAAAAGCATGGTATTTGTATTCCACGTGTCTTGTTGAGGAGCCGGCACGGCTCGCACACTTGCACAGATTGCCACCGTTTTGTGATGGAAGTTCTTGCTGATCCATGATCCAGGTGCTCAGCCTTGATTTTACCTGCTGCATCTTTGTCCAACCTCAACATCGCATGCGAAAAAGCAGCTGGCCCAAGCTTTTTCCAAGTTTAGAAACAAGAGAGCATGCTTGAGGCGCCTAAGTTCTGCCAGCGGTTCAGCCACAGAGCCTTCTATAGATTTGAGCCATATCTTTCGTATGTATCACGACCTGATGCTGCAAAGTTTTGCCCAGACACAACTCTGTGTTAAGTTCTGCTTTGTTGAAGCCTGATGGAGCACAGAGATGCCAAGCTCAGAAGGCTGGAGGCAGTAAAGCGAAGAGTGCCAGCACTTACAGCCTCTGCTTTTGCAGGACTGCTTCAAGAAATAGAAGCCAATGGCTTACCTGGCTTGAAGCAGCGGAAGCACATAAAAGAATGCACTGCGAAGCAGGTGCAGCAGCATGCCGCTTACGGCCCGATGATTCTGAGTGTTTCCACTCCGGGAGCTGGCGGCTCCCAGATTGAGCTTGTCATGACGAACCTATTTTCAATGCTTCAGGCATTTATGGTGGAATGCAAGCCATGGCGAGACATGTTGTTGAGCTGCATGGCGGCACACGGCACTTTGACTTTCATGCTATACTCCGACGAAATCAATCCAGGAAACCCCTTAGCCATCGAGCAGAATCGCAAATTTGTTTGCTTCTACGGATCCTTCTTGGAACTGGGACCGATCCTGTTGGCGAAAGAAGCTGCTTGGCTCCCTCTGTGCTGCCAACGGTCTGTACTGGTCAACTCGCTGCCTGGAGGAGTTAGCCAATTGGCTTCATGCATTCTACAAAGTATCTTCAGAAGCAGTGTTTGCGACCCCATGCACACTGGTGTCGTCCTCAAAGATGCAGAAACAGGACAACTGCATCGACTCCGCTTTCGTCTTGGATGTTTCCTCCAAGACGGCTTGGCCCACAAGCAGCTTTTCAGCATAAAAGGGGACAATGGCACTAGGTGCTGTATTTTATGCCGTAACATTCTTGCAGCTCGTGCAGGCGAGTTGGGTGATCTGGAAGATTTTGTGCTTAGCAGCGACATCTTCAAGGAAGAGCAACTCGTCCAGAATACTGATGCAGACTTCCGCCGGTCAGTCGAGACCATGCAAAGCAAGAAGCTTGAAATGACTGCGAATGATTTCCAGCTTTGGCAGCAAGCCACTGGCATATCGTATCACCCTGAGGGGCTGATCTTTCAAGACAGCTTGAAAGACATAGTCATGCCGATCTCCCAGTGGCTACACGACTGGATGCACTGTTATTTCCAGAAGGGCATCTGGACACCTGGCTTTTTGATTATTAAGTTTCCTGATTTAGATGCCATGACCTTGAACATTATATCTACAGCACTGCACCATGTGACACCGAACTCATTTTGTTCTAAGCTCATTGCAAGCAACACAGTCATAGTTTACCGCCGCTGTTGCCAATCACGATTTTTACGATAGCCCCGAGGAATACAGTCATGCATCTGACGATGGCTGTACTAGCTTCAGAGCTGGACGTGGACTTCTATGCCCAGTGTCAGCAGTACTTCCAAGCTTGGACGTTGCCCAAAGCCAGGAGCGAGTCTTTGTGTGGCATGTTCTGTGCCAAACGGAAAGAAGCCAACAAGGCTGCAGGCACTTTCAAGGCCACGGCTTCGGAAGGTCTCAGTTTGTATAGTCTGTTCGGTTTCATGCTGGTGCAAGTGGTGGCGCCGCTGGTGAAGTGCAGCAACGTGATCAAAGCTTACACCGGGCTTGTCAATGTCATTGAACTGATTCAAGCAATACCCCTGGACAAATGCAACGCAGATGAGCTCCGGTATGCCATCAGCTTTTTTTTGGATGCATGCTTAGCTGCCGGATACCGAGGGTTTTTTCACCCCAAATTCCACTGGCAGCTGCACATGCCGAGCCAACTGGCACGGTTTAAACGCATGCCCAGTTGTTGGGTTCACGAGCGAAAGCACAAAGTCGCAAAGCGGTTCGGAGCTCCCATGGCCAACACAGCAGCATTCGAACGATCATTGTTGCTTGAAGTCATTGGCCACCAGATGGCGGAACTCAAGGAGAACTACGTCTTTGACACTTCTGCCAGATTGGACAAGGCATGCAAAGCATCGCAGAAAATGAAGCAGTTTCTACAAGATTACATGGGGAGGCTTTCGGATGACATCCAAACTTGTGCCCGGGCCCACCTGTCGCCGGCCGGGCAATGCCAAAAAGCTGATGTAGTGCTTCTGAAGCATGGGCTGGTCATTGGCGAAGTTTATTTTCACGCGACCTTCGGCGATCGAGTGCTATCTTTGCTGTCACTGTGGGAAAAGCAGACGTTTGAGGCATGCAAAGGCTGTGGCGTTTTCAAGAAGCAACATGCTCCCATGCTTGTGGACACCGCAGACATAGCTTGTGCTCTGCCTTTCTGCCATTTGAAAGGCGACATGTACAGAGTCTTCGTTCCCTTGGCATACAGGCGGTAACAGCCATCGATGGCTCGGCTCTTCAAGGAAAAACCGCCGTCATCGAGCAGTGACTTTGTGTAAAAAAAGCACATGGGCTGCATGCACATGTTTTCGCCTGGTTGGGCACCACTCAGCAGCAGTGCCGCAAGTCAGTTTGTTGCTGAGAAAACTTCCAGGTGTTGAAATGAAATTTCCATTAATTGAATCGGAAATCTCGACGTTTGTTTTTTCTGTCGGGTGCTGTCCGACTTTGCAGACCTGTCTCGTGTTTGAAGCATCATCGGAATTTTTCCTCGTCGGAACAATTGTTTTCTTGTGTTTTCCTCAGGCTAAGTACTTCCCTGGCTCTTCCTAACTGGTTGCCAACCTTGCTACATGGTTCTGGTAAGATGTTACATAACCGGTTAGCAGCCACTACACGAAGTACTTACTAACTGCATCTGTAAGCATTTAACAAACCCCATTACTGGTTATTAACTCCCATAACCTATGTAACCAATTACTAACCACGCGGGTCTTCCAAGTAGCGTCCTTGTAAGCATGGACTAGCGCGGCACCAAAAGTGTAGCCAGCTGTTGCCATGACCTTGTAGGCGTGCTTCCGAATAGCGTGCTCGTAGCTGAGCACGAGTGTCCACGGGGGAACTAGCGAGCCCGAGTCGGCACTGGACCGCAGTCCATAGCAGTAGTCCCCGAGCAGGTACTCCTTGTAGCGCTCAAAGAGAGCCATGGTGATGTCCTGTAGCTCCTCGCGGTTTGGGTGCCTTAGCTGGATCATGATTAGCGCGTTCTGCAAAACTGTGAGCCGCAGCCGTAGCTGCTCCGGCCCAGAGGGCATGGCTGCCCTAGCGCCACCCTTCTTGATGGATAGCGTGCCATTGCCGTTCCAGACAGGCAGTAGCGTGTCTGGGTCCCATTCGTCGCGACTGATGACCTCAGTTAGCGGTTCTGCTCGGAACTCGGCGGATTCGAGTTCGGCTAGCTTCTTCTCGATGTACTCCTTAGCTGGTGTATGCTTGTCCTCGAGGTCCCCGAATTTAGCGGTGAAGGCCTGACGCATTATCCACCCAGTTTGGTTGACCGTGCACTGCGATCGGGACCCGATGAGAGGCGGCGCATACCCTGATGCTGTGAGATGAGTCTCGACAAGCTGGTACTTCTGCTTTAATGCGGGCGGCAAGGACGGAAAGGCTTGGAACCAACCAGCGCAGCTCACGGGCCGTGGTTAGGCCGCGCGGTGTCTTGCCAGGTAGTCTGTAGCGGGGATGGGCTTCGCCCAATCCCGGACCTCATTGGTAGCTTCGGCCTCTGCTTGCCGCTCGGTGCGGGAGTTAGCGGTCCTCCATGCGATGGTGACCCCCGCGGCCTGAGCACGGCTAGCGAGCGAGGTGGTAGGCTCGATAGCAAAGCTGTCCTTTAGCATTTTCTCGAGGTCGGCTTCGTCCGTAGCCGAGGCTGCGAACTTAGCGACGGTATCGATACCGTTGGAAAAGAGCTCGGATTGAATAGCATCCGAGACTTTGTGTTGCACTAGCAGGAACCTAAGTTCACTGCTGCCGAGGGCTAGCTTCTTCGCTAGTGCTTCGGCCCCTGCCATGGTAGCAGGCACGGGCGAGGCTTACAACGTCGAAAGAAATAGCGCAGAAAAACAGAATTACTTCGCTAGCCCTAAAGGGGAAAAGCTCTAGCATGAGAGTGTGTGAGGTGGCATCGAAAGCTTCGCTGAAAAGGCACTGCAGTCGCAGACAGCCCTAGCAGCCCACCGATCCCGGCCCCCCCCCCACTGCGCAACACTCTCTCTCGCTCTAGCTCTTCCCTTCTGTCTGGCTGCCGACATGTGTGTAGCGTGGGCTGTAGCGTGCACACAGGCAGCCGTAGTGGAGCACAGCCCTCATTTTGCTGCGGCTAGCGGTCGGCAGCAGAGGGCGCTGCAAAGTAGCCGCGTGCAACTCAAAAGTAGCGAGTGGAAGTAGCGAGGCCGGGACCTGTAGCGAGGCCGGGGCCTGCTTTTAGCGGCCGCCCCATTCCTCTCCCCGGCTCCACTTCTTACACCCGTCACAACAGTGAGTAGCGTGGTCATCACAATTAAACCACATGCGCCTGTTACAGGCTCTTAGCGAACAGACCTCGCAGGTCGTAGCGCACCTGAAGATACAGGCGTTAGCGTCCCAGTGGCCCAGGGAGTAGCGGCAGCGCCCAGCCTGGTACTGGGTATAGCAGCTGGGCAATAGCATGGCCAGCAACTCGCTAGCTCTCTCCCCCTGGGGGGGTGTTAGCGGGCGGATGGACGTAGCGGCACATCAGTGCGGCGTCCTCCCTGCCTAGCGTGTAGAGATGCTCTCCATGGTGGATAGCATTCTTCAATAGCACGTTGTCTTCGCCCTTTCCATAGCGGGGGTCTTTGTTGGTCTTCCCCAAATCATAGCGGCGATCCCACGAGCCCAACGGCCAGAGATCGCGGTCGATGCTCGACCATGATAGCTCAAGGTACCAGTAGCTCCTCCCTTTGGGAAGGCTGTTAGCGTGGGCTCCGGGCGGGGTCTGGCCCGGCCCTTTAGCGCGACACTCACCGGTGTCCCCTTAGCGGCGCGGACGTTGGCCGGCATGCCACCCGCCTGCTCGATAGCGCGCTCCTGCTGGAGCTCCCGGCGGAGCAGCTCCAGATAGCGGTCAGGGTCATCAAATAGCGTGCTCCAGCTAGACCAGCTCGCCGCAGCCAATGCGGCCGCTAGTGCTAGTCCTTGGGCCGAGGGGCTAGAGGACGCATGGGGATCCCGCTAAGCTATCTCTTCCTCGCAAGTCTTGGGTACCCTTTCAAATGGGCCAAGACGAGGGGGGGATTTCGGGTGGAGTGGCTAGGCATGGAAACGGACTCCACGTGGAGGCTAGGCTTGTCTCAGAAGAGAACCGACTGCCTAGTGGAATGGCTTCGGAAGCTAGTACGTGAGGGAAAAAGTGAGGCCCGACCTTTCGCACAAGGGCTAGGACGCCTGGGTTTCGCTTCCATGGCGCTAGACTGGGAACGACCCTTCCTTGGCCCGCTACACGCCTGGTCCTCGGCTATCCAGGGGAAACCGGGACTCCTCACGCTACCCACGATGATCCGCGTCCTCAAAGTCCGCTTGGAAGCTGGAGGCCGTCTCCAGAAGCCGGCTTCGCTATTGGATGGTGCAGCTCCACTCTCCTTCTACACCGACGCTAAGGCCGAGAATGGGCGTGCCTGGATTGGGGGTTTCCTCGAGCTAGTGGACGGCTGCCACGGTCCCTGGTTCTCGCTAGAAGTGAAGAAGGAATGGGCCCCTTGGCCTTCGCTAAAGAACAAGGTCATAGCCGCACTGGAGCTACTGGCTACTCTGGTCGGTGTGAAGCTCTGGGTACCAGAAGGGGACGCTAAGAAGACCTCCAAGGTTGCCATCCGTGGCTACACTGACAACCAGTCCAACGAGGCGCTACTGAAGAAAGCTATGACAACGAAGTTCCCATCGACCTTGGTGTTGATGGAGCTAGCAGAGGAACTCTCCGCTAAGAACTGTGAGCTTCAACTACAGTGGATCCGCAGGGATCTGAACCAGCTAGCGGACGACCTCACGAACGAGAACTTCGCTAGTTTCTCCCCGAACCTGGAGGGGGAGAAGCTAGAGTGGCACGTGCTGGGCCGTCTCCTCGAACACTCGGCTAGCTACTTCCAAGAGCTAGGAGTGAGGAAGAGGACCGGAGAGCCGAAGGGTCCGAGGTTCGCTAAGATCATGTAATCCTAGCCTAACCCCCTCCTAACTACCCCCCCCTTGATAGTCCCTTATTAGAGCTTTGATAGGCTACTCTTCCGGGGGGAGCGACATAAAGAAATAAGGCTGGAATAAATCTATTTTGGTCTTATTTCGTTGTCACACCGATTAGAGCCGAATCAAGGTCTAATTAAGCATTGCTTGTGGGGACGTGAATCGATCTCGGTGAGCTTCCAAATTTTCTGGATGTGCTGCTTGTTTTAACACTGCCCGTCCACAGCCTGCGCGCAGCAGCATGACACACGCAAGTTAAAGCATGCACTGATCTGCTTTTCCCATTCAGCCAGCATGGAGCACAAACTAACAACGTGTGACAAACCGCTGTGACTTCACCTTGCCTCCTTGCGGCATGGTTCTCGGGTGGAAGCCCGCTGTTCGGCGCCAGTCGGGGGCTGACGCGATCCCGACAGCAGCGAATAGGGCAAGTGTGTTGATTTCAAAACTTAGGCAGTGGTCCTGATGGCGGATTCGGATGACGACGTCGATGATTCTTTACTCTTCAAATCACGGAGCGCCGGTCTCGGTGCCAGATCCGCGCAACAACTAACACTCAGAAATTTTCCCCTCCAAGTCTTCATGCGTCAGGTTTGTTGCACGTGGCGGGCACGGACATCACGGTTTACACCTCCGAGAAAGTTCAGTGTGAATGGGTGGCAGCAGAGGCTGGGTTCTCTTCTGTCATTGAGCGTAGTACCGCACGATGCTGGCAAAACTGCTTCACCTCCAGCGCAGGCTCTTTGGCTGTTCTTCCGGACGCACAAAGACTCGAAGCGTTTGGAACTGTTTCGGTCAGCCAAGCAGAACATCCGAGATTACCACCGAATGATTTGGCCTGGCTTTGTAGTCCCGGAAAGGGAACCCAAGCAGAACCCTTTCAGCAAAAGGCGATGTGAGGCGGATCAGGATGCATGGTTCAAGGAGCGGACAATAACCACGTCCGTGCTTCTGGCGACCGCAGCATACAGCATCAACCACAAACACAAGACCAGAGTGGACAGGGCCAAGGCATGCAAGGGGTTTGCAAAACTTTTGTCGATGCTGGCTAGCACGACGGGTGGGTTCACGCTTGAGCACGACCGGTTTGGAGACGATGAACGGTTACATCTGGCCGTGGATTTCGGAGGACGTGTGTCGGGTCAAGATTTTTGGACAACGGAGTTTTATGACCAGCATGTCCAAGACAGTTGGGAGGCTGATCGCAGGAACGACAAGAAACCTTGGATCTCGAGTGCGA